GGGGGATATGGGTCATAAGAAGTATTTAACTGCACAGGAGCCTGTGCTATAGTTGAATATCCAACAGTCCACTTACCCCTGGGGCTGTGGCCACCACTCGGTAGGGGAACACAAACAGGTCCAAGCCTACCAGCTGAAATATGTTCTTGAAAAGATCAATGATCTGTAAAGCCAACATGTCCTGTTTAACAACAAAATGGAGCACAAATATTAAAGGGGTCAGGCAACAAAGCCAAGTGGTTATGTAAAATATTCTGAAGAGCTGTGAGGCTAACTTGACATTGCGTTCCCTAGATCTTTAGAGGAAAGACTGAACTGAAAACATTTTGGCATGGGGTGGGGGCAGCAAGTACGTTTTCAGAGCTGCACTCTGCCAAGACAGTTTAACTGAACACTTGTTGGCCAGCATCTCATGGATACCTCCTGGTGGCCTGAGAGCGCAGGAATCATGGTGGCACTCCCTCCCTGACTTAAAGACAGGTCCGAAGGTATTTCTCACTTCATTATGGAAGCCACTGAAAATTCTTCTCTGTCAGGTAATGGGCTTTTCTTCTTTACCATCTTATAGTAAGAAGCTAAACCATGATTCCAGGGATTCCCCAGACAAGAGTACTTTGGTGTTAGTTTTACCTTCCTTCTAAAAGCTAACTGCCATCAACTGAATTTTCTATTGTTGTAAAGACCTGGTAGTTTTGTACCTGTCTACAGTCATCACCAACTTTAAAGATGGCTGCTTGCCAACAGATTTTCTTACTGTCTACCCCTTCTTCTGTACTTTCGTCTATGGAGTCAGAGCGACAACGCAGACCTGCAGAAAGAGCAAAAAACAGAACTTGACCATGGAGCTTAACTGACAGCTTGGTATATAAGCTACCGTATTGGAAAAAAACTTAACATCTCACTGGTCTACAGGGGATTTTCTGCCCTGCAGGGTGAATTCCACTGAACCCCTCCTGCAGTAGCAGCACTGATATATTTAAATTATATTCCAAAACAGACTTCACTGGTAAGCGAAAGCACTAAACTCGGCTCCTGAGCTAATATTCTCATGAAATTTATGAGGAGAAGGATGGCAGCTAAAACCCAAGTTTCCATGTTTCCTAAACTAGGCAAAGACACTTAATTTACAAGCTGCACTAATAGTTGTTGACAGAATTTTTTGGGACATTTGGCCTGATTTTATAAAGACCATTTCCAAAAATAGCAGTTCTATTTCTTCAAATCCAAGCAGCATGCTTTCCTTCCCTGTTCCCCATAATTTAAAAAAAAAATCAATCTGTGTCAAAACATCATGCATTAAATTCTGGTCTGTAACCATTTTTACTGCAATGGCATAAGACACGAAAGCAGGAAATTCTAATGGAGTTGCTGACTGTTAACTGTTAATGTATATGATTAAGTAGTACGGTACTGACCTTCTTTTTCAAGTTCACTGACTCCACACCGTTTCACCTTAAACTTGGCCAGGTATGGAGCTTTTGCAGCACTGGAAGTATGACAGGAAATTGAATGGCATGTATTCAACAGACAACTTCCTAATAAAAGATCTAAATATTATGACTAGGGCTGAGGAACAAAGCAAGTCTGTATCACCTTTGCATAGGAGTTCCCGACTTGTAATCAATATCCAGAACAATAGCTTCAGGATTGCTGGGCAAATAACAGCCTACAAAAAGGAAGGAAGAATGAGAAAGAAAAGGCACTTGCCAGTTAGTGTGACACAATAAAGCACTAGGGAAGTCTGACAATACATCAGTTCTCATAGGTTTAAAATCTACTCTGAAGCTGGAGATTGACAGAATACTGTCTGAAATGACAGAGATAGTACACTTGGACACTCAGTACCTCTTCCATCTGTCAGCAATTGCCAGAGAGCAATAGAATATAGTTTCTAAGTTGTAGAGCAGCATCTTTTCAGAAAGGTGTGGAGGCAACTTCTTTATAATAATCCCCATAACAGCTGGTAGCACAGCCCAAAGGACTGATGATTATCCCTAGCAGCAGACACATGGTAGTCAGCCTGGCTAGACACAGATCAATAAAGGGGTTAATAAAACCATACTGGAAGGAAGGTTGGAGTCAGAGGGGAAAAGTGTGTTTAGGAGAGGCAGAGATTTTTGAAGAATGGTGGGACGAGGGGAGTAAAAGGACATAGCTGGATGCATCTTCACAGCTCACTTGTTACTAAATATTTCTGTCAAGGGTAAAACTTGGTTAATCTTCCCCTTCAGTTGCTTTGCTCACTTCATTTCTCAGCTTTCCTCTCCCTCACTTTGGATTTCATCTGATCAGACAAACAGCTTTCTGGGCAGGGATCTCATTCTCTCAGAGTGCAACATGCCATCCCTACCATGTTGGCATCATGCAAATATTTATGCTACCAAGCTAAGGTTTAGCTTGACAAGAAACAACACAGGACACAGCAGAAGAACAAGCACTTATCAGCCCCAGGCAGCAACAATAAGGGGACCAGAAAAAGAGAATGACCGTTAAAGGCTCCCATGAATCATTCATACAAAGTTCAGTGTTCACATTAAATGCAAAAAGAACGTACATTGTGATTAGACTACTGCTTACCAGGCTGCACTTTCACCTCAGACAGGGCACTCAAACAAGCCTTCTTTCTTTCATCTCCTTTAGGGAAAGGCCTGGGCAGAAAGACAATATTTTACTTTACTTACTTCAATGAAGTCTGTTCCACACTTAAACAAACATAGCTTTAAAAAAATGTTTCTTCCTTGAAGAACAGTAGTCTCTTACTCCACCATCCCTGCAGGCTTTGACCACCTTCATTCAGTATAAAGCACAAACTTCTTCCTTATATAACACTGGTTAAAGATTTTGCCTTTTTGGAAAAAACACTCATTCCAGATTTCCCTGGAGTATATTGGCTATGAAAGGTAATCATGTATCATACAGTATCTGACAACAAACCTTGCTCTATTTCCCTTCTCTTGCCTATTAAAAGGCCACCCAGAGTACAATTTTATCTTTCAGGAGCATGTGGGAGGCTGCAGTTAGCCACTTGAAGTATTTCCTAACAACCTAATAACAAATGCCTTGTATACTTTCAAGTATGAAATATAAAATGGAGCTTTAAATGGCAAAGGTGTCAGTTTGTAATACACAGTTCCAGGAGGAATGGACCCCTACAAGCCAAGACTCACTTCCAGAATTGACCAGGAAATCCTTAGATTCAAATATTTCAGGAAGGCCTGTGGCTTTTCTAACTCCTTGTTTAAAGCTGTGCTTGAGTATGTGCAATGATAAATCATCTGAGCTGACCAGAGAAGAACAAAATGCAAATCATATTAAACTGCGCATACAGCTGAGGCAGTCTGCCTCCATGCCAAGGATAGGCAGCTGTCTAAAGCAAGATCGTTAAATTCTCCAGCTAGGCTCTCAGGCATGAGAAGACACTGCTTAAATTAAGAGTCACAGCTGGACTAATCAATTAATTTAGGAGCTCTATAGAGCTCTGTTCAGCCACAAGGAATAAGGCTGAGATGTGAGGCAATGGGAGAGACTTTAAACCGTTTGAGTAATAGATTATTCTCTCTTAGCCCAGATTAAAAATAAATAGATAAAAGTTCTGAGGTGTCTTCCCTTGCCCCTGAAATTACCCATGGGCAGGTCCCCATGCAGTTTTCATATCAATTTGTTTTTAGTTTAGGGGGCAATTTCATGCTGATTCAGGTGAAGCACTACCACTCCCCAGCATGGATGCAGTTATACTAGTGTGGATTTGGTTACAGGGATAGAGCTTTTTCCTGTAAATATATGGGAACAGGCAATTCCAGACTAACAGTTACTGCAGTTATTTAACTAACTGCTGAAACCACAGGGATCTGAAGTGGTACAAAAGTCTTCCAAAGCAATGGGAAGGCAGAAGAACTGCCTGTGTGGTTACACACCTAATTTGTTCATGTAGTTTCTGAACCTGTAATGTCATCTGGACAATAGGGAACATGATTAATGATTAGCATGTACAATTACCCAATTTACACTTGCAGTCATGGTAATTGTGGAAATCAGTCATGCAGTTACAACATTCACCTGGCACAGAAGCCAAGCACCTGAAATATATAACTTGGGCAATGACATTGGGTGTTACAGTGGGTTAATGCACCACCTTTTTATTTCTGAAGACCAGTGTAAATACTTCAGACAATCTAATCATGCTACTTCACATATTCATTTACAAGACAAGCTGATTGCCACACCTTTGACATTTACCCAAGAGGTATCTAGAAGAGAATACAGATAGAAATGCCTTCAGAGTTCCCACAAGCAAAAATAAGTACTTTTAGGTTGCTTAATTCTGACTTTAGGTGCTAAAGGTTAATTTTTCCCTTTAGTCTCCCCAGTGAAGTCCAGATCTAAAAATGACCCGTGATGTTGGACAATGCCTGGGGCATCTCCACTGCTCGGTTGAATCTTCTCCTTTTTACAATTTGGAAAGGTTGTTTAAACAAGAAAAAGCAAAGCCAATCTGCATCACTAGGAAAATGGTTTCTCTGATATTCAACTATTTTATATCCTAGAAACTGTTTTCAAATTAGGTAACAAGCATGCTCTTGAGCTAACAGCCTATGGGCTAAGCTGCTGCCATCCTCTGGCAAGCTTTAAAGTTACCTACTTTCACTGCAGCCCTAAGTTAGTGACAGTTACCAGAACGTCTGCATGAACAGAAGTTTTGCCTTTATTGAGGGCTAAGAAAATCCAGTGGGGGAGAAACCACCCTGCCTCCATTAAAGCTGCTCTGATGGACCAAACAATGATATAATCCAAAACACAATCAATCACACCAGCACTCTACAAATAAGAGAAGAGCTTTGTGCGTGTAGGAGACAACTTATTTATACTGCACAGAAATAAAGAAAAAAAAGCCACTTTCATGGAGTTCTAGTAAAAATATGATGCATATCATTTACCGGATCACATTTATGCTTTTTTTAAACCAAAACAAAATGCATTTAGCTAGTTATAATTTGCAGAAAATAATGGAAATGCTGTCAGTTAAATACAGCAGTATTTTTCCTGCCTGAAGCAAGCTGTGCAAACTTTGCAAGAGAATGCCTTTCACCCATCCAAATGCCCATTTTAATGAGGCAGGTGACACTAACTAGACCTCTGGGATTTGTTCAGCTGGCACAAGAGCACTGATTGTTCTACCATTCTCATTCCCATCTAAATGCACTTTCCTACTGAGAATCATTTTGCTAATACCAAGCACCACAGGTGACAATGAAAAAAAATCAGATTCACCGAAAATCCGAAGTTCCAGCTATCCTTGTTTCTTTGCAGTCCAAACTACACTGTATCCTTCAGAGAAAAGCACTATTACAACAGTCTTCAGGCAGTTATGATTTACTGAGGTCAGGTCAGACACTAACCAGATAAAAATACTAACCAAAAAACCTCTTGTGCATCTTACTAGCCATAAGCTAGAGAGAACACTTTTTAAACTGTTCTTCTATGGGAACATGGTCTCAGATCTGACCAGCAAGGCAGTGTCCCATTCAACACAGGAGTGAGCTATGGAATGAGCTACAGGCTGGCAGTCCTTGGAACCTGGCACTTACTTGATGATGGCGGAAACATTGGTGATTTTATTGAAGAAATCAAATTCCCGTTGGTAGAACTCCTTTGCTGGCCCAGATAATGAGCCAGTTATCTCTTCAACTAGCTGCTCCAGCAGTTCCCCAATGTCAGCTGTGTGATACCAAAGGAAGCAAGCATGAGAAGCAGTTTAGATATGTACCTGAAAAAGCATCAACTGCAAGGTAGGGAAGGAGGGGCAAAGAAGATTTATTTTTTTTGTGCAACTCAAATAGAGACCCTGCATTTGCTCTGAGGAATTCCACAAGGAAACATCTGCAAGCTGCATTTTATCTATATAGAAAAGACATATTTTAATTCCGGCGGGGAGAGGGGAGTGTGTGTGCGTGGACGTGTTAGGGGAAGAGAGGGAAGGGGGAGAGAGATGTGAAGAGGGGTTGAGCCCAAAGGCAAAGTACTCACGATCTTTCTGGTGTGCCTCTTCATCCATGTAGATATTGGTTTTCATGTTCCAGATGAACTGGTGAGCTAAAAGCTGCGATTTGGAGGCTGCCCATAGGATGTATTCCCTCACATAGCCCATCTGCAACCATCCAAATGCAGTCACTTAGAGGACTAGCGCCACAATGCAGAGTCAGTCCAGTCAGCACCAGCAGCTAATTTTCAGGGCCAAATATATACAGATAAGACTGGAAAGAGAAGAAAACGGCAATTCTGCCATTGCTTTCTTAGCAGCCTGGAGAGTGGCACAGTAATCGAGTAGACCAGAAACTGGAGTCGGTGTCAAGAAGCCCGAGTTTTACTCTTGGCACTGGCACTGACCACCCTGAGATTCTGAAGGAGTCACTTCTCATCACTGCGCCTGTCTCCTGTTTCATCCTTTTATCTATTCAAATTCTGAACTCTTTGAACAAGGGTTACACATCTCCTACTATGGGTGCCTACAGATGTGCAGTGAGGTTGCTCTGATGCACTGTAATTACAGTGTACTGGAGCAGGCTCTATTAATCAAGTCTGCTAGGGCACTCCAGCAGACTCCAGCGTCACGTGTATCAGCGTCCCCATGCTGAAAAATGGCAGCTGGGGCACTTTAACTAAAACTCATCGAACAAGCTTTAGGGAAAGCACCCCTGCCACCATTTTTCAGCATGGGGAAGCTGATGCACATGAAGCTCCACGCACTTTAATTAGAGCATCTGTTGGAACTGCTTTAATTAAAAGCACCGCTCCCACCCCTGCTCCCCACTTTGGAGCACGCGTATAAATGCCCTATGTGTCTGTACTGTGCCCAGTAAGATGTGGGCCTTATCTTGTTCAGGGTCCAGACCTGCTGCTGTAATAAAGATCACTCTAACACAGCGTGCAGAACTTTGCTGGTATGAAGTTCATACGCTATCCCAGTTTTTACAGAAATCCCAAAAAGCAGAAACATCTGAGCAAGAATGACCAAGTGTTTAGTGCAACAGAACCCCTGCTACAGTGACACTTCCCTCCAGGTTTTGTGGCTTTTGTATGTCATGACTTTATGATACAGGAAGGAGGAGAGGGCAAGATGTCCACTGATCTCATAAAATACACAGAATAATCAGTAACAATGGGCCCTTTAGACCTACCTGTGCTAAGGGCCTGAAGAACAATGGACAAAGGAACAAGCTTCCTAGGGAAGGACGAGCCTAACTTTACTGGAGGCTTTTAAGAAAAGCCTGGAGAAGCTAAGGTCTGGACTGTTTACCAATAATGAGCCCTGCATCTGTGCAGGGGGATTGGACTAGATAACCTGCAAGGTCCCTTCCAACCCTACAATTCCACGAACAACTATTCACAGTTATGTATGATATTGAAAGAAGCAGCTTGAACATCGCAGATTGTAGGGATCAGAATCTGACTAGTTTGGGGCTGGTACAGATACTTGTACACCAGAGAAGAAGCAAATCCTAAGTTGACCATGGACTCAACAAAAGTTTGTCAACTGGCTTCATCAAGATTAGGGTATGTGCTGGTACTTGTACAATACATAGAGCAGCTAGGCACATCTAAAAAGTAGATTTATCAGTTAGCAGTGGACTGGCGGATGGTCCAATTTTTACACCTTTAGCTCTGCATTTGTAACTGTGGCTATTTCTAAATTACAGGTGAAAACTTTCAAAAGCTTGATCATGCAGAGCCCTTGACCCCTTTATTAGGTTAATAATAGCAACATCTCACCCCTAAGAAAAGTAAGGGAGCTATTCTCAAAGTTGCCCACAAATTCAACAGAGCTAGCAAGGTGGGGAAGAAGTCTGTAGAGGACACCACTTGTCTTTTATATACCAGTCACAAGAAAACGCAAGCAGTACATTCTCATTTATAGCTACTCTGTTTCTTTTAATTCAGAGCTTAAAAAGTATTTTGGGAAAGTTTTTGAACCATCTGCCTGGAATAACATCCTCCTCACCTTATCATATCTAAGTGCTTGAACAATCTGTGGAATGTAGAATAAAATGGCATCCTGAAAAAAAAAAAAAGAGGAAAGCAAGTAGTCAGTTTTTCCACTAGCTGAAGGAAGTGAGGAGAGGGGGAAAATTACAAAGGGAAAAAAAAGATTTAATTTAAAGGCACTGGCATCAGGAATTTTATTCTGTATAAGTGAAAATGCATTCATATTACTAACGCCATCTCTTCCATTAATACTTTCCCACTGCCCTCTTGACCCCTCCAGAAGCACAATTAACAGGCACTTGTATTTTATAAGTATCCTGACATCTGTTGCATCAGAAAAAAACATCTTTCTAGTGAAGTAGGGTGGAAACACACACACACACACACTAAATGAACCACAGCAAGGGAGTACTGGCAGCAAAAAAAACCCATTGCAAAAATAAGTGAGCCAAGGCTATATGGGGCAACTAAAATTCCTCTCTAAATGCAGCTTGATCTGTTGAGTCTCCTCTCTGTATAACGTGCCCCTTTAACAGTTATTTTCTTCATGTTAATGGAATTAAGTTTTGTGGGCATAGAGGCCAAAGACCTTAACTTGGCAGGAATATGGTATTTGAAATTCTCTTAAAAAGGCATCCCTTACCGGAGGGAATGACCGTAGGACTTTAACACCATACTGAGCAGTCAAAGGATGAGGTGGATACATGCTTGAAAAATATGAAAGGCCAGTTGGTGGATCTGTTGGTGCCCAGCACAGAACATGGCTCAACTCAGGGGCATCTGCATCAATTGTGTGCCACGTGACCAGGTACTGTGAGAAAAAGGAGCATGATGAATTAAAAAAGCCAAAGTCATTTCTGAAGTATGACATACCAGAGATCTATTTGTCCCATAAACGAATAATTGTAAAACTATGTTCTCTTTCATAGCAGGCTGGGGTGACGAAATGCATGAACACTTAGGTATGTGCAAACTATAATGCACTCAATATTTAGGTGTTTTATTAAAGAACATTTAATTTTCAGGGGCAAACATGATATCCTTTAGCTACTAGAACGGTCTCATTCATGTTGATCTGGAGTTCAGATCAATAAAAGCGCCAATTCAGCCTCCACTCTTTTTGTGTTTCCATGGAAGCTGGTGAACACTGTGAGGAGGAGGAAGCCTCTTCAAAGTGTCAGACCTACTATCTTTTTCCTACACCGTTTTCTCTCTTTTGATCATGGGCTGGCCATGAAGCCTTAATCATTGCCTGCCCTAAGCTGTCTCAGGGACTTACTGCTCTCTGGAGTTCTGTACATACTGGGAACACGCTTTGGAACATGCTGTGCATAACAAAGTAACCACACAACCTTGCTTTTGTAATCCTCAACTGACCACTTTATTTCCCGACCTAATCTTGTAGCTCTTACTTGCTGACTCATATTTAGTATTAGACCATAAGCTTTTCCAGGTAAAGACTGAAGCCATCTATCTGTTTGTACAGAACCTAACTGACTCTGGGCACTGTTGTAGTATAATAAATCATAATTAGTTGCCTTTATTGCTTCAGGAACATCACTAACAGCTCCTGGGTCCAACCGAACCAGGCGAGTCACTTCTGTGCCAATTGCTTCAGTGTTCTTAAATCTAAGTGGAAGCAGAAATGTGCATGAGTTAGTAATTCAGAGAGAGTGGTGAACTGCTCATTTTTACATGAACAGTTTCAAAGGCAGAAACATACCTACTTCACATAAATATGCCACACGTAGAATTAACTGACTTTTAGGGACTAAATGTGCTGGCAAAACTTGCGAGTTCAGAAAAAAAACCTAGTTATTTTCTGCTAGTGGTAGAGCCTACTGGCTCCACCAGTCAGCAACTTCTTGGCTGAAATGAGACTCTTTGAAATCTGCCTCCATAATTCTACTTAGCAGAAAGGGTCACTGTTGCTAAAAAGTGAAATTATTTCCCTTCTCTTTGGGGCCAAGCATTCCAATTCTGTTGTTCTACTTTTTTTCTCTCTCTTTTTTTTTTTTTTTTAAGACTCAATCTAATTTATGATTAGAAACCCCTTCCTCCCCACCCCACCTAGACAACCTGGCTGGCAAAGAGAATTCAGAACTGGTTTACCTGTAACAGTTTCAGACACTTGAGCTAAGTTTTGGGGTAAAAACCACAATTCTGGCCCAATAAAGTCTCCTACTGAAACAAACGGTGGGGTCAGAAGCAGAATTTCGATAGTGTAGTTCTTTTCATTTAATGGTCTCAATCAGTTGCAAATGCATGCAAGAGAGATAGGAAAGTGGTAAATATCCATGCCTGCTTGCAGTATTTATTGTGCGTGTTATTACTTTAGACTCGAAGAGAGGAAGGAATTATATCGGTCCTTTGTTCTGAGCTCTCACCTGGTAGGCAGCTGCACAGCAAGATGAGGAGAAATGCTCCAGGCCAAATTCACATTATCCTTCCACTGTTTTTCACTCAGACTGACATATTTCGACCTCCAGTTTGCCACGCTACTCTCTCCAGTTTGATCCAAGTCCAGCTCAGGAGATGACAGCGGGTTGTACCATGTAATCAAGCGCTCTATCTCAGTAGCCTAAGGACAATGAAGGACAAAACAGTTCTCTGATGCAGATAAAATTCTTCCAGATTTTTCTCAAATGCTAGATGAGTTTGTGGCACAATAAGCAATGGTTACAGAAACCCCAGTAACACCCTCACTTTTCTGATACTAAAGGCAACTTACCAGCAATGACAACAGAAGTGTCCTTCGTTTCATGTAGTACTTGTGGAGCTGTGTGCCTCTATTAGTTTTCTTAGACATCCCTTGAGAAAAGGAAGAAAATATTTTCAGTTGCTTTTCAGCAAATACATTCTGGCCAAGGACAGAATCCACATGGAACTCTCCTAAGTTGAGACTGAGCTCACTAGCAAGGTGACAAGAGACAGCTAGCATCAGAGCGGCCTGTGATGCATGTGTTCTGCGATTACTTTGAGCATTTCAGGCTACAGAGTTATGCATCTGGCACTATTCACCAGCTTCTCATTCATTTCAAATACATAACAACTTGCCAAGATAAAATCCTGCAGCTTACAGCTGTACAGATTTACATTCACAGAGTGAATGAGTTTGTGTCCACTTACAACCCAGGAGCTCTCAGTTGCTTATGAACATTGACCAACTGCTTCTCAGGAATTTAAGCTACTATAGCTGCTAGTATCTTACTTTCTGCATTATACAATTGCATCACCTACAGGATCAAGCCACTAGTTTCATAGATTGTAAGGCTGGAAGGGACCTCAGAAGATCATCGGGTCTAGCCCCCTGCACCAGGCAGTTCCAAAACCTTTGTCTCCATTCCCTGTGTGGCAGTTGTTTTTTTTTCCGAAACTTGCATACTAACAGTCCAGTGTAATATCAGAAGAACATATTCCAATGTTCAAGGTAAATAGTGACCTTATATCACATTAGAAGCTAAAAGGTTCTGGATGGTCACATACAAATTACCAGTAACAATTAAGTAGGAGAGACCTGATTTTTTGGAGATAGTTGACATGCCACTGGACAGTGGATAAGTATTTATCCAACCCTGTGTGGCCTGCTGCCGAGACCCAACAGTGATATCCAGGTTACTTCTTGTGTCCTGATTATCTAAAAATAAAAGCAAGAGGTTTAATTCAGGAAACAAGGAAGCAAAGAAATAAAGGGATTTTTGAGATAGCATGCAAGGAACTCACCAGGAGGAACAAGCTGGCTGGCTGTTAAGTACTTCTTGTCTGAGAACATGGCGGTCCAAAACTTGATCAGTATGCTGATGTCCTCCCGAAGCCTTTTTTCCCCTTGGGTGGGAAACTTTGTGGGATAGCTTACAGAAATTGCATGAATGATTAGAAAGCAAGGATACTCCAGAAAAGTCCCAAACCCATGTTTTCTCTTTTGATTAGGGGCAATGAGACTAAGCACATCATTGTTCCCCCCCCACCATATCTTTAATCTATCTCACTGGGGAGTGTAGCCTTCCTGACAGTAACTGTAGCCTGCCAAAGTCCAGAAACAATTTGGAATTAAAAGCTCTGATGGACTTCTTCACCTCCCAAGACTGTCAGATGCTGCTGCCAATTAATATTGGCTATGGATGTAATATAAAAGACAGATGTGTTTTTCAATCAGTTTCCCATGCTGAATATAATTGAACAAGAATAGCATATCTAAAATCCCTCCACACTGAAAAAAAAATCTTAACCCAGTTTACAAATAGGATTTGTAGTCTCCAAAACCAAATAGTTTAAGGAGATTTTTATTTTCCTTAACCACAAATTATTTATCTGCTCTAACCATGAGTTCTTTTGACCTCTGAAACATACACAATGGGCCAGACAGAAGCACAGGTGACCTGGAAAATGTTTTTTTATATAAGAAGAAAATAATTCAAATCAAGCATCAGAAGAACAGTTCCTAATGCAAAGTATTCTAGAAGGGTTTGGGATTTTTTTTTTTTTAGATTTAAAAAGTCTCTCACTTTTGGGTTGGATGTGAAAAGAAAAAAGTAGTACCTGAAATAATCAAAGGCTGTTGAATAAATCTTCTCTCTTAAGACATTGCGAATGGTTGCATTTGGAACAACATCAGCATGTAACAGAGACAACCCCAAGGTCAGCAGCCTGAAGTTCCACACGTACAAGAGAAGGGAAGAAAATCTTTGCATTTAAACAGTTGATGAACACCAAACCAGACCAGCAGGCCTGGCACTACTCTAGGCAAGCATGAACAGATTTCCTGTAAGCCAAAAATGGACTACTCTTAGGAAACAAAAGACGTATACCACCTAACATATGCAGAAACACATGTCAATACAACTCACTGTCTTCAGAGTTGAAGTCCCTGACTCCATTTCTATCGATTACCACGTAAAGCCCAGTTTGGCTTGGTTTGGGAAGCAGTGGGGCATAGTGGCAACCTGATCTACTAGGAAAAGACTCTGCTCATAAAAAAGGCTGAAAACAAAACCATGGAATCTCTTGTATTTGCACAGCACGGCACTGCATGGACAAGGCACATGACATACTAGCAAAACCTGGCAATATGTTTTGCTGGAATGCATGTAACTCTATAGTCTTAAACAGGTATTTCTGTGCTGTCTGGCTTTTTTCCTAGTGTAAATCATAATGTGATGGCAGATATCCATATCTGCATGTCATTTATGAAACGGGGCCCACTCACTTGAAACGGGGCCCAATAGCTGCTACATGGCGGTTCAGGCTGCCCTTGGCTCCTCCAATGTTGAGAGACAGGGACCGCTGCAGCAGGCTAGAGAAGATCTCCACCTGGTCTGAGCTGCAGTACTTGGCTATTTCAAATCTCTGTGCCAGAAACTGAGGAAACAAAAAAACAAAAGGAAAGTATGGCTAAGTGACACCAAAGCTTCCTGTGCTTCTGCCACCTTTATGCAGCTACATAAATATGAGAATGCTGCCCTACTCTACAGGAACACTACCATGAGGAAGAGTGCTTCTGCTCCACAAATAAAAGCTCAGAGGCACAGAACAGCTCAGTCATAGTGCTGCTAAGAGCCCAACACTGTTACGAATTGAATGGAGTACTTACATCAATCCAGGTATAATGTGGAGTGACCTCTGGAGGGCAAGGCTTTGGCTGACTTTCTTCTGAAGCAGCTAGTGGATCTGCTTCTTTCTGCTCACCAGAGAACAGACCAACTTTCTGCTCCACTGTCATTTGCCAGGCTCCTGTCATTTCCCGCATGAACTGCGGAAACAAAGTTTACTGCATTTGTTGTTCCCAAAGCACCTGTCTGTTAGCAAGGCACAGTGTCCTTCTCCAATAGTATGGGAAACAGCAAATCTGAACAGGCCGAACCATACACAGCTCTGAAACTCACCGTAAAGGTAGTAAAGCTAACTGTAAACATGAGGAATGCCTGTATCGCTAGAGATCTCTGTGAGGAAGTCTTTGTTCATGGGAAAGGGACAAGAAGGAATACAAAGCCTCCAGAACTCCAATGTAACTATGATAAACAGCAATGGAAAGACTAAGTTTATAAAAAAGATCAATTACAATCAGCTTAAAAGCACTGCAGCTAGCCTGTAGATCAGATTTAAGCAAAACTGCAAGGCTTATCCTTAACTTGCAAAATGTTTGGTGCTTGGCTATTGTAGCTGCGTCAGCACTGCAATGGGTGCCATTATACTTTAGTGGTTAACAAATCAGTGCAGCAAAATGTAGCCACATCCACAAAGCACCACTGTTGTAGGACCAGAACAGTTTTTAAATCTGTCTTGTCAGAGTGGGTTTTAAAGCTAGAGTACAACTGGCCTGGACAGTAAAGATCCTTTCCCAGCTTTCAAAGGGATGTGGGGGAAGCAAAAGAAAAGAAAATGTAGGCCTGGCCTATATATAGAAGTCACATCATTTTAACTAAATATTTTATTTTAAACCAAATTATTTGAGAGCTGGCACAAATAAGTGTATAGCTATTTGTTTCAGGTTAGCCTAAGCCAATTACAAAAAAAAATGTATTTAAAACTGGCACAGGGTCTGAATATAGACAACAAGCCCTGAGCCTGTCAAGAATCAATACTGGATAGGGCAAGACTGTCATGTTACATGGCTTAAACATCCACATACTCTTAAGTGAAAGTTTCTCAGTTGAGCTGGCAGAAAATGTAATAGGCAAAGTTGATGTAAAATCCTGAAGTGAGTGAATTTTACCATATGCTAACATCAGGAAGCCACAGCTCAAGAAGGCAACAATTTTATTTTCATGCCCATTTTGCAATGAATTACTCCAGATGAGATTTCACTCCACTTTCTTCCCCCTCCCAAGAGAGCCTGAAATCACTGGATGAGTCTTCCTACCGGTACTTCTATTCCATTTTTAGCAGCAAGCAACCACTCCCAGCAAGCAATGGCTGTTTCCATGCCTTGTTCTGTGAACATTCGCAGGGGGCCCCAGCACAGGTGATGGAGGAGCTGAGGGTCACACTCTGAAAAAACAAACAGTCATACAGAT